GTAAGGGAAATAAATTTAGATAGGATAGGGGATTGGATGAAGGTGGAAATGAAGAGGGAAAGGATGTTGGAAGAGTTTAAAGAAATAAAATTGTCATGGTTTCATTGTATACAATTAGAACAATGGGTAATAAACTGGAAAAAAAATAATAGAAGTGAAAGCCAACTCAGTCAATTCGAACAAATAATACAGAAGGGAAGGGCTGTAGAAGAGCACGAAAACTTGAGAGGAATAATTAGTAAAATTTATAAGATATTAATTGAAATGAAGGAAGGAAAAATAAAAAATAACACCCTTAAAGAGGTTTGGGAAGAAGATTTAGGGATAAAAAATAAGTGAAACAGTGGCAACAATTATGGGGACAAAGACTTTTAAAAAAATTATCAATATGGGTTAAAGAAAATTATTACAAGTTAATATGGAAGTGGTACCTGACACCGGTAAGAATAGCATATATGAATAAAATAACTCAATAAATTGTTGGAGAGGGTGTCAAGAACCAGGAACATATATACACATGTGGTGGCAATGTAAATATGTAAATAATTTTTGGGAGAAAGTATTTAGAGAAATAGAAACTATAATGAATATGAAAATAGATAAAAGTCCTAGTATAGCCTTACTATCATTATATAACAATAAGCAATTGAAAAAGGAGGATAAAGAAGCGATAACAAACTTACTAACTAGAGCAAGACTGCTTATAGCAAGGAATTGGAAAAAAGAAATGAATATACAAATAGAGGAGTGGTATAAAGAAGCATGGAAAATAGCAATAAATGATAAATTGACATGTATATTAAAGGTTAAAAAAGGTATATGGAAACAAAGCGATTTTGATGCTGTATGGGGAAGATTTGTGGTAAATGGATTAAAAAATAAGGAAGGAAAATTACCGTCACAAGAAGAAATGAAATTTTGGACAGATGAAATGTAAGAATGGTGGCTTGAGACGGCTGGAGGGGAGCACTGTGGTGAAAAAAGGAAAAAAAGAGAAAAGGGGGGGAAATGTCAGAGCAAAACAACAAAACAACATGTTAAAGAGGTTGATGTAAAAAAAAAAAGAAACCAATTTAAACACATTAAAGACATATTGCAACGTACAAAGTGCCAAGCCTTAGGTTCCATACTCTTTCACTTTCCATAGTCCTTATCCAATCTGCTACACTGAAGTCAGATTCCATGTTATATTACACTACTCTCAGAATGCTTGTGTGCAAAGCCATGTCTTTAACTTTTTCCTGAACACCAGGAGAGATGGAGCCAGTCTGGAGAGGGAGTTCCACAGCCAAGGGACCACAATTGAGAAGGCCCTGTCTCTTGTACCCACAAGTTGCACTTGTGAGGGGGTGGGACTGATAGTAGGGCCTCCTCTGCAGATCTTAAAACTCTAGTTGGCTCATAAAGGGAGATACCTTCAGACAGATAAGTTGTACCAGAACCATTTAGAGCTTTAGAGACCAAAGTCAGCATTTTGAATTGAGCCCGGTAGCAAACTGGCAGCCAGTGGAGCTGACGTAACAGGGGGGTTGTATGTTCCTTGTATGCAGCTCAAGTTAGAAAACTGACTGATGCCCGTTGGACTACTTGAAGCTTCCAGAAAGTCTTCAGAGACATGTAGAGCACATTGCAGTAATTTATTTGAGATGTAACAAGAACATGGACCACCTTGGCCAAGTCTGACTTCCCAAAGTATGGACACAACTAGCGCATGAGTTTTAATTATGCGAAAGCTCCCTGATCACTGCCAAAACATGAAATTCCAAGCTCATTGATGAGGCCAGGAGAACTCCCAAGCTGTGAACCTGTGTCTTCAGAGGGGTGTAACCCCATCCAGTACAGGCTGTTCAACTGACCAGGAGCACCTCTGTCTTGAATGGATTCAATTTCAATTTGTTCACCCTCATCCAGACCATCACAGCTTCCAAGCACTGATTCAGGACCTGAACAGCCTCTTTAGCAGTAGGTGGAAAGGAGTGATAGAGTTGGACATCATCTTGTACAGATAATACTTGTGTCTCATGAGTTATTTGAACAAGCTAATACATATGTAACTCAGTATAAGTGACTAATATGAAAGAGTACCTCTCTTTACGTAAGGTGGTTTGAGATCTGCTGTAGATGCCTTCTTCTGGGTCACATCAACTCAGGGCAATATACTCTTAGTAAAATTGGTTAAATAATGGTAGAATCATAGTCCTATCTATCTCTGTCTCTTATTTTCATTCCTTTTTTCATTTTCTAAATGTATATTACTTTGATTGGATTGTTAATGTTAAAACCAAATAAATAATTTGCAAAAAGAAATAAGGCAGTTGAAGCCTATAAGCTGCTACATACAGTGCAGTAGGTAGCATTTTCATTTCACAGCTTTTTGAAAAGCAGGTAGATGATGTTTTTCTTCCAAGGCTGTCATCTTCGGAAATATTTGTCGATTTCACCCCTCCCTCATGTTAGGTGAAACCCATTCCTATACTCTCCCAGCTTTAGTTTGTATATGTCAAATCCTAGGTGGTCTGACCCTTTAACTGAGTCCTGTAATTTGCCATCCACAACGCTTGGACATTTGCTCCAAGTAAATTATGAATGGTTGGCCAGATTGTGGGTCACAAAATTAAGTGATAAGAAAGATGAATTCAATGCCAGGAACGAATAATATTTCTAGGTGGATAAGACAGCTGGTTTCCCTGCAGCCAGATGGTTAAAGTTCAAGTCCAACTGTTGCATCCTGATCAGTCACTGTAGCAATGATTGCAATTGGCTCGCTGTCTACTGTGTCACCTCTTGAATATTAAGCATTCCAGAGAGCTTTCTAAAGACAGATTAATGCACTGTGTGAGTGTCTCACATCCATAATCCCTTTCACTTTTTTTTAAAAAAAATAGCTAGCATTCTTTATATCTCAGTACCAATAAATCTAATTCTTTTTAACAGATGTATTGTAAAGCCTCCAGGATCCAATAATGATCAGGGCAGTATTACAGTGCACTTCATAGATCTTCTATAGCAAGGTACATGAACAAGGATGGATGAAGTTCTCAAACAGCTCCACAGGAATATCCACCTGGAATAACTTCCTTTTTGGAACCAGGGTATTTCAGACGTGCACATTATCCACCTGGGAAATTCTGACAAAGAGCACATCTATAGAGTGAAATACTCAAGGCACAATTGCGAAACAGTGCCAACAAAGAGAAAAAATAGGACAAATGTAAAGAAGCCAGAATGGATATCCAAAGAAATTCTAACTGTGCTAAGACACAAAAGAGACATGCACAAGAAGTGGGAAAAGGGAGAAATCACCAAAGAAGAATTCAAACAAATAACCAACTCCTGTAGGGAAAAGGTCTGCAAGGTTAAAGTACAAAATGAGCTCAGGCTTGCCAGGGACATTAAAAACAATAAATAGGCAACCTTATCTGCTTCTTCATATTCAGTGCAGGGGAATGTGCGTAATCTTTTCAACTATTAAATATGCAATGGACATTTATGATTAAGAGGTCTTATAGAGCCACTATTGTTCCCATCAAAAACATTTCTGCTTCTTTGTGTCTGATTTTGCTAGTAGCTCTAGGCATTTGGTGTATATTAAAAGTGGATTTGGACTTAGAAGATTTTAAACGCTCCCAGAAGTGGCCTTTTTAGTTCTGTGAATTGCATGGAATTGGAACTTCATTGAAATTCCCTTGCATGGAAGGAGGGGAGGGCAAGAGGCCTGTGAGAGGTTCTGGTATGACATTATCTTCATCCTTCCAGCCCCTAAACATAGCTGAGGAACTAACAATTTCCAGCTCCAAAATGCTGCAAAATGTGTGGCTTTGCACAATATTACAATTATGGAGGCTACCCAGAAATATATGAAAAAACATTTATTTTACAGCAACCAGAAATGATTGCAGCATCACTTTTGTTTTCAGATACATGTAACTCAATAGGACTTAAAATAGGTCCTCTAACCTTTTGTGCAAACTCACCCTGTCTTAATTCAAGATGTAAGCAAAGATCCTGACTATTATAGCATATCAATCTTGCATGAAGTGGTGGTGCAGGAAGCCCCTAGGATTTGTAATTAACTCTGAACTGGAAGACCACTTCCTATGACTTTAAGGATAAACAAAATTGGAGTTTTATGCCTTCTACTCACTCCAGATGTTCTGCTTTAAAGTGAGCTGTTTATCAGAACTGTTGCTAATTTCTGACTTCAGGCTAAGGAAATGTTGAATATTAGAAAGATTAGCTAATTTAATCAATAGTGCAAGACATCATTGCTAATACAGTCATTGATAAATGTTGGCCACACTTCACCTCCATAATTTGGCATACACAAATAAGATGCACTATTCAACAGGCATTGTGGATTTCCTGTTGGCAAGACTGGTTGTGAGTCTATATATCATACATAGTTAACTTGGCAACTTTCATCACGACCACAGGTTTTAAAAGTAAGGTTGATCATTTATATCATATATATATGGTCTGTATAAAGGTGATTATGAGAATTACTTGTAAACAAATGAAAAAGAAAAAATGATATACCATCAATCCTAGTCCATGCTTAAATATGCAGAAAAACCTGTTTTTGGAAGGTAAACAATCCTTTTTTCTCTCTTTGCCTACAACTTCATGTCCTTCATTTGTGAGTCAATGATGTTAAATAAATATAGCATGAAGAAACACACACAATTTTTTATTTGTTTTTAACTTCTGGCCCTATGTGAAAATCATTCTGCCTAAAATGGATGTTTAGCTATTCTCTCATACTGTATTTCTGAGCTTTCTAATGTATAGAAAGCACCATTGCTCTTCCTAAGAAATGTTTTAATAACCACATACAAAGTTTACATTGTCTCAAATCAAGATCACCACTTATCATGTTATTCTGAAAAAAAGAAGAGGAATGCTTATTAACCTACCTATATATGCATACAAGTATGTGAAAATGTTATTTCCAGCTTGTAATGAGTGGGCGTGTGCCCAGAAATGGAGACTGCATTACTTACTTTTAGAAAAAAGTGATGCATAGTCTCTCCCAACCTGGACTTTCTTCAGAAACTCAACAAATGTGTTCCACCTATAGGAGGAAAGATCCCAGAACTGAACATATTTGCTTAAATGCTGCACCGGGATATATACATGTACAATGAACTGTGACTCTCAAATCCACCAGTGCCCTTTCCGTGTTGTTGGAGGATTGAAGGAATCAGTGTGGTGGTGGCTCTATTCCTGTAGCTGAAGATACTGTGAGTGGCATATTGCAGGGACCCCCAAGGCTGTTCAGGAAGTTCCTGTTGTTGCTGTTCTCAAAAACTAGAGCTGATAGGGGGAAAGTGTTGCCATTTCTGGAATCAGCAGACCCAATATGCCCAGAAACAAGTATATCATCTGAGGCATCAAAATGTATGTTGACCAGTGTTATCCATGTGTCATATCAAAATCTATATTGGTCCTAAATCTAGCCTCAACATGTCAACTTATTCAGAAATATATACAGTACATAGAGCAGGGGAAAGATTGCATAACATTTAAAGGAATTGTGCTTTAATAGTGAATTCTGTTACTTTTTTTATATAGCTCTCTTGTTTTTATGTGATGAAAAATGGGCTAAGAAATCCATGGCTTCTTCTTCTTCTTCCATTTATCTTGCTATGACCTAGTCTCTTTCTTTGGCAATATAAACAGTACAATGGGATTAATCTTGCACAAATGCAATCACTCATGAAGTTTTATTGATCTTAAGCACATTTAATCACAAAGTGGCTCATAATAGAAACCTCTCTAATTACTTAGGAGTTTCACTCACAGCTACTTGCAGATACTAATTCAGCTACAACCTACAATGTTGCAAAGTTCTGTGCAGCAGCATACAAAATCCATCAGGGGATGACTAGTCCCAAAAGTTAACTGTGTGTCCAGTAATCTTCTTCCCTGAATCTACAATTTGGTGATGGATCTGGGCACTGTATGTTTTTACCCTGTTTCCCCTTCCGCTCCCTCACCCATATTGTGCTTCAGTAGTTATATTTATATTTTTAATGTACCAAACATACCAAATTTGTATGAAAATGTGACTATTTCCTGTGCTGGTCAATGACCAAAATAAATGATTTGATTTGATACTTATCTAATGGTGTAGACTCATATAAACCAGTTCAAAGCAGATAATCTGGGATCAGATCCTAGGATATAGGTCAGTATAGATCCAGCCTAAGCAATTTGGAAGGGTGCACCAGGCATATGTCTTGACAAAAAGGCAACTCCTGGAAATGTACTATGATACAGTTGTCAGCAGTACCACCAAAGTATATTTGCATATGGTGCTGCATTGCCAGACCATAGCTTAGTCTAAATCTAGCTCAGTGATTCATGAGTAATGAAAGTCAAGATTTCATGAGATCGTGTTTGTGGTTTGTGTACATTGGCACTTTCAGGTTGCCTATTGAATTTTGGTGACCCCATGAAATTCATAGAGTTTTTTTTTAGGCAGGAGTACTCAGAGGTGCTTTTGCCAGTTCCCTCCTCTAAAATAAAGCCTATATTTAACCATTTTGATACTAATGACTAGGCAAAGCCATGGAAGTAACATTTGCTGATGCCCATTGGTAGTTGAATGTGACTAGAGTTCTGTACATTATCCCATTTGGTCATGTGGAATCTTAAGTGGGGAGGCCACATGAGTACACAAGCAAATATAATCCCCAAGATCCTTGTCCCCTCAGTCCATGAACACCTTATGCTAATGGAAAAAATCTATTGTATGCTCATTTGAATGCATATTATCAGCAACTTTGTTTAGGCAGCATAACCAATAGCATATTCAAATGAACGCAAGCATTCAGATCACCTACCTCAAGATGGGAAGATCAGCGACTAGAAACAATTGCAAATGGGGATGAACAGGATAGGACTTGTGTGTGCACCCATAAACCCTCCTCAACTTTTGAGGCATTGTTTGTTTTGAAAGAGGTGCTTCATAAATGTTTTAAGAAGTACAAAAAAAATTCCTCAAAGTGGTCAACTGTTTTATTAATATGATGTCTCGATGTGTGATCACAAACACTTTTTGTGCATTAGCACAAAATTCACATATGGCTAGTTTTGTGGAGAAAACAGCAAAAAAATTACCTTATAATACTTTTTTTTTTGCAGGCAATGCTGTTTCCTACACAGAAAACATTGCTTTCTGTGTACAAATGCCCTACACACATTGTGTACAGAATCAACTCCAAACTTCATCGTTTAGGACAATTTCCTTGCAGTGGGAAGAAAATTGCTAAAATTACTTGTTGCTTAGCAACAAATTAAATCCTTACCTTAGGCATTGTACATTTATGCTATATAAAGACCAGTATAAAGACTTAATGGAAACAAGATGAAATCATGTTCTTCTTTTCCTAGTTCTCATATAACATTGTTTTAGTATTTTTGCCTCCCCACAGGATGGTAATACATCCGGGCGTCCCCTGGGCAACGTCTTTGTAGATGGCCAATTTTCTCACACCAGAAGCAACTTGCTTCTCAATTCGCTTCTGACACAATAAAGCCTTTTTGGCCTGTAAGCACCAGGTTTACATCAAGCTTGCTAGTTATCAAGAAAATGGGGAGATTTGAACAAAATAAATCAGTTCCACAGGAATCAGCTTAGTAATACCACATTTTGAGCTGGTGCATAAGATCAAGATGCAAATGTAAAGTACAGGAAGGGAAAACATGTTAAAACTTACAGTATTCTACCTCTTCTGTTCAAATCATAGGTGACAGCCAAAACCTCCAACATACCAGGATAGAGAGGTAACCCATTCATATGGCAAATCATCTCAATCTGCAGATAAAATTAATCTTAATTATAACATAACCAGTTTGCAGTTGTGTTGTGGCAAATGATTATGAGAGCCACTATAATTATACCCCCCCCCCAAAAGTCAACAGCTGTGTTGATCCATATCACCCAATTATAGCAGTTCCTTCTGTTGAGGCTTGGTGCCCCAAAAATCTCTAGTATCCATATTCCAATCAGAAACCAGAGATGAGTCTAAAATGCAATAGTTTAAACTACAGAATATACTACCAGGTCCAAGTGCCACCCTTGACTGTTCTGTAGCATGGGTTTTATAGTTGACCAGAGTAGATTGAAATAAACACACACACAAACCAAGCCTTTCCCCCTTTTCTTCACTTTTCCCTTCTAGCTCTGTCCTTCAATTCAGCACCTCTCTGTTCCTCCCTGTTCCAAAACAATCCTGTTTTTGAAAACTTCCAAAACAATTATCCTGTGCTTTCCCTTCCCATCTCTTCTGGGTCATTCTGATTTTTCTTCACCTTTCACACACACCTTTCCCCTGTGCCTGGTAACACTGTCTTTTCCACTCCTTTGCTTTTTTCACTCTGTCCTCCTGTCTCTTTAGCCCAGTCTCAAAACTTTCTTCTTATAAAATTCACTCTTGTAAAATCTTAGTCTCTTCACTTCTGCACCAGAGACAGGGATTTTGCAAATCTCTCTATGTGTGTGCATTCCAGTCATTTGTTAATATATGTCAACCCCATGAATTAGGCAAGGACGACTCATAGGTGGTTTGCGGCCTGAATTGTGTATTTATGACCAACAAAATGCTCACTATCCCACAATTTAGCTCATAATAATACACCATTGGTGGAAAACTCAACCCTCCAAGGACTGCAGTTAAGCTGCAAGGTGACATAGACATTTTGCGGATTTGACAAATGACATTGCCTTTCCCATTAATTAAAATGTCCAATCACTTTGAACTCTTGAGTGTGCTGGCTCTGGAGCTGGTACACTGCTATTAAAAAAGTAAAAGGTTTTCATTAACCTAAGAGGAGTGCAAATGAGTTTGCCAGGTCTTAGACCTATTTGTGAAGGAGATACAATTAATACACTACAAAATTGTAGCACTACAATTACATGGCCCCATTTTATGAAATCCTGGGATTTGCAGTTTAGGGAGAGGTAGACTTCTCAGTAAGAAAATTCTCTCTTGCCTCATCAAATTACAAATCCCAAAATTCCTTATTATTATTGTTAATAATAATAATAATAATAATAATAATCTGCTTTATCTCCCCCAAAGGGAGAGTAGCCATGATAACTTAAGTGAGAAGTCATAGTAGAGTGGAAGAGCCCGTACTGTAATGAATAGTGAATTCTCTTGGAAACTTAGGACCCATCTGCACTGCTATATAATGTAGTTTAGAACTGCATTATATGTTTAGTGTAGGCCCATATAATGCAATTCAATGCAGTTAAGATATGTTATATGAGTCTATACTGGCTATGTAATGTAATTTCAAACTGCATTTTATGGCACTGTAGCTAGCCACACAGTCTGTTCTGAGTGAAGACAGCTGGGTTACACCCAGAGTTGGAGATTTCCTTCTCTTCAGGTGTTCCTTACCACAGCTTGAGAAAGTTACTTCCCAGTGGTCATGCTGATTGGGGTGTTGTGGAAGTTGTAGTCCAAAAACTTCCACAACACCCCAATCAGCATGACCACTGGGAATTTTGGTAGCTTTAGTCCCAAAAGTAACATTTCCAACTCCTTACCCTATCCTTTCATGGTACATGTGCTGCCAGTAGCTTTATACAATTTATTACAAAATTGTCAGTAGAAAGCTTAATTAGGAAACATGTCAGTCAACAATGACATTTTTAAATGTGTTGAAATTGAACATAATTTTTTTAAAAAATCAACAAGCCAGGGTACTGTATGTGTGGGCGTGATGTACCTAAAATCTTTTTTTAAAAGTACAAAACATTGAAAGGTTGGACAAAATATATTTTGGAAGAAGACTACTTTTATTAAGAAACTTTTATTTGAACGGTGTAGTCTGCAAAACTGATTCCCATGAGGCACAAAGGCTATATCAGGATATATATCTTTTGTTATTCTTTACCTATTTACTTGGCATGAACTTGCCTAATGCCCACATTTTTAAAGCAAGGTGGGCCAACTTAGTCTGTGGGTTGCATGCAACTCCAGAATCCCAATTTTGTGCCCACTGAAACCCTCTGGTGTTGTCCTAAGCCTCTCTTAATCCCATCATTTTTACCATAATTTAAAAATCAAGCTAATTTTAAGGTGTTCTCATCCACCCACCTCCCAATGCCCTGAAATCCAAGAAAACCATGTACTGGTTTAGCCTTCCTAGACCACAGACTCTCCTCAACATTGGATTTCAAGCATACCTTAGGGTGCATCTACATTGTAGAGTTAATACACATGGACATCACTAACTTCACAGAGCTCAATACTAAGGAATCATTGGACTTGTGGATTTGTGAGGTTTTTAGCTTCTATGTCAAGGAGTACCGATTCCTCCCCAAACTACAGTTCCCATGAGTCCATGGTATTGAGCCATGGCTGTCAAAGTGGCATCATACTGCATTCATCCTACAGTGTAGATGCACCCATAGACAAAAATGAAGACCAAAAATAATGTGACATCATTTTTGGGAGGGCTATGTGGAAGTACTTGGACTGATACGGGGTACATTTATACTATAAATGAATGCAGTTCAACACTACCATGGCTCAATGCTATGGAAACACAGAAGCTGTAGTTTGGTAAGGTATCATCATTCTTTGTCTGAGAAGAATATAGCATTGAGCCATAGCAGTTAAAGGAGTGTCATGTTGCATGAAATTTACAGTGTAGATGCACTCTAAGAGACAAGGAGAACATTAAAGGAAAAGAAACTACTTTATAGGAATGATTCTCTGTTTGTGTGTGTGTACATCTATAAAACAACTTGGGATGCTACCTATCTAGGGAGCAGAAATAAGAGAGTAGAAGCACTAACTGAATTGGCCTGTTTAGCCCATACTTATCATATGGTTCCTGCACTTTTCTATCAGCCCTGTCCTTGCAACTGTTTTGCACAAGCCGCTGCCTTGCTCCTCAGCTCAGTATATGGCCTCTAGGTTAGGCTATTGGTTGGTTTGATGGTTTATTATGTTTTGTATTTAAATTTTACTGTTATATTTTAATTTCTGTCTGACTGGGCTTTGTCTCCATGTAAGCTGTCCTGAGTCCCTTCGGGAAGACGGTGGCGGGATATAATAATAATAATAATAATAATAATAATAATAATCCATTTATTAATGCAAAGGGGGAGGAGGAGATAAAAGGATGGGGAGTGAAAGAAAGACAGACAGACAGAAAAGGAAGGCACAAGGTAGTTAGCAACCTCCCGAGTTTTTCAAAATTCTTCTTTAAGCTAGAAACATTGTTTTACATATATTACTTTAGATAAATTTGATTGATGCATTTATAAACTGATTTGTGTAATTTTTGTATTATGGAAATGTAGTATTTACAGCACATGGCACCAATCAAATGCACTCACAAGAATTTCATGTTTCTGTCCTTCAGCGCCAAATTTTGACAACTCATGTTTCTCATCTCTTTCAGCTTTGTCCTTTAATAACAAGGATAACTTGGATAGGAAAATAACACAAATTAACTCTTTTGTAACTGAAATTTCAAAATATTTTGATAGATGTGTTTGACTCTGATGTCCATCACTTCTGGCCAGCATAGACAGTAGTCAGAAGTAATGGAAACTGCAGTCTAACAACATCTGAAAAGTCATAGGTTATTGTCAGCCCTGTCCTATATAGAAAGTCTTTCTTGACCATACAGTAAGACCCTCTTAGTAATGGATTCAATGTCCATAATTTCACTTACCCATGCCCCAGAATTGTTTGTGGGTCTCTCTAGGTCCTCTATTGTGATTCTACATATAGAATTACTATGGAGGACCTAGAGAGACCCACAAACATTTTGCCCAAGTAGGGCAAAATATAGGATTCACTATATGATTTCAAATATTCATGTAGGGATAGTGGTTTTGGAAGATTTCCCCTACAGATATGGGGATCGCACTGTACAGTGTGGAAATCATGATTCTGATTATTACCTCAGGGAGTGAAAGAAGACCTGAGGAAGATTTGTCTTGTTGCATAAAATCCAGCCTTAGTTTTCCTAAGTTCATTCCTCCTTTATGATCTTTCAGCATTTCCTTCAGAGTCTGCAATGCATCTTCTGGAGTCCAAGAACTATAGAATAATAATACATATGATAGAGAGGTTATTTCAAAAAAGAATTTGACCATTGCTTTTATAATTTCTTTCTGAATACAGACATAAAAATATCCAGTTATTTTGTAAACAAAACCCATGCCACCCTCAGAAAACTCCAAGTACAACTCCAGCTAAGAAGTAAATTGTGGGGTGACTTAATCAAGACAAGTGAATTAACACACTGAAAAGGAAAAGAAATGAACCTTTTTAAAAAATAAAATTGAAAAATTCAGACTTCTAAAAAGCTTGCAAGTCACTTTCACTTATAATAGATTCCATACAATGCAGGAGAAAGGATGAGTCTAGTTGCTTCCTACTTGGTCCTATAGCCATTTCCTGAAAACCAACATGGTTTGACTGAATTCACTGCTCAGTCATGGAAACCTGGCCAAGTCATGTTCTCTCAACCTTAACTGAAGGCAATGACAAACATTCTCTAAATAATTGTTTCAAAGAAAACCCTTGAAGGCACATAAAAACAACTTATTGATATTTCTGCTTCAGTTACATAGCTTGCTGTGGAGTTGTTCATATAGTGCAGGTGCTGTGCCCATCCAGTTTTGATCCCTTGTCACTTTAGACTGTTCTGTGTGCATTAACATAGTTTTCATACCAGTGGTTAAGGTTGCCATGAAGGCCTTTATGCCCTTAATGGTTGTGTAGGAAAGGGGATTTTAGCAAATGTTGCTGGTGGAAGTGCAACAAAGAGATAAGAAGCAACACCTGCTAAGACTCTATACATCCATTAATGTACAGAAACCCTCTGCAGTTTTTTTCCTGGCAACCCTACTGCTGGGGCTTTCCATCTCTGTATCTCAGTTTATGTTGATGCTATTGTGCCACATCCACCACAATATTTCTTCAAAATTGGTTGTGTTTATGATGGTAAGAACCAGATGTGTATGTCTGAATGTTTTGGGATACCAAAATACACCATACTAATCAACTGCATCCTATATAAACTGCTTTGATGTCATATCATTATTGGAACTATTTGCGTTGTGTTCATTGTTATTCTACTATGTTTACATGGTGCTTTAAAATTTGTTAAAAGAAGAATTAAATATTTTTCTTTTTTAAAATAAAGGGAAACAAAGCAGTAATTTCAGCCCCCTGCCATCTAGGAAAACAAAATCAAAGCACTACCAACAGATGGCCATCTAGCACCTGCTTAAAAACCTCCAGAGAAGAAGACTCCAGCACAGCCTTGGCATTGTATTCCACTGGTGAACTTCTCTTTTAATCAGGAAGTTCTTCCTAATGTTTAGATGGAATTACTTTTCCTGCAACTTTTATCCATTGCTCCATGTTCTAATCTCTAAAGTAGCAGAAAACAAGCATACCTCCTCTTCAATGTGACATCTTTTCAAATATTTAAACATGGCTATCATGTTCCCTTTCAGCTTTCACTTTTCCAAGCTAAATATACACAGCTCCCTAAGTTGTTCCTCATAGGGCTTCACTTCCAAACCTTTGATCATTTTTGTTACTCTCCTCTGGAGACATTCCAGTTTGTCAAAATCCTTCTTAAATTGCAGTGGCCAGAACTGGACTCCAGGTTCTGGAGTGGGATTATTTACACATACAGAATTTGGACTTCTCTTAGCAACATAACTAGATGTCACTTTCAGACAAGAGGCTTCTAAACTTAAGACAACTTAAATCCTCATCCACTTATTGATTTGGCGCTGATCAAATATATGACAGAGAATGAAACATGATTCATTTAGCATATCTTTAAATAAGTCCCTATGCAATTTAAGATAATTTGAAAGAAGTCACACTAAAGAAGGAAGCATCCAACAAACTATAAAACAGAAGGAAAAAAGACCTGCAGAGGTATTTAGAAAACAAAATAGTGAACTCTGATATCGAACTAAACACATTAAATAATGCACAAATGTGATCACAATGTTATAAATAATTGTATAGTCAAAAATACAGACAATGGCTGAAACCAAAAAGTCAAGCAAATATCACTTCTGATCCTCAATCTGTCTGTTTATACAGACTTCTGAATGATAAGATTGATAATATGGGTCAAGTAACAAAATGATAACCAATTAAATAGTGATCTTTTTGTTATTTTATGGATACAGCAACAAAATGATAACTATTTAACAAGCAACCTAATCATTCAGAAGTTGGTATAAATAGACAGTCTGGGAATCATAAAGTCTTTTTCAGCAATCAGTCTAATAATAAAAATAATCCATCTCATTCAGTTCAAACATAAGTAACAGCTGTTATAGAATTCTCAAAATTAACCATTTTGTAACAAATTTTCATAAGTACATAGACTTGTGGGTGTAAAAACCTCCTGCAGATAACAAGCATATAAAATATGTTTTCACATTATGTTTACCAGCCTAAAGTAACAATAAGCCAAATTAATGGCAAAGAAAGTATACCATGTAGCTATTGTAAGCATAAATACCAAAAGACCTTATAAACAATCAAATACAAAACAGATGAGAAATGAATTACAGGGACAGAGATTTAATTGAAATGAAACATCCCTTGAAGTAAAATGGAAAAAAATGACTGTGGGTAAATTAAGTAACAATGAAAGAAAATAAAACACCAATACTGGAATTCTGCTGAGACTTTACATTAATGTAAATACCATTACATCAATGTAATTGTAACTACACTAGTGCACTTTCTTGGATTTTGCTAAAGGGTGTTCTCCTATCTATGTTTGTGTGAGCCCTATTACACAAATGTGAAATTGCACATCCCTCAACATGTCAGAGATGAAAATTCAGAAATGTGTGACTAAGCAGCATCAAAATGTGGTCAAAATGGCAAAAGTTCTTAATAAGGAAAAACACACAAGCTAGGAAAAGCTGCAGCAGTGAACTTCTGCCTTCTCTCTTCTGCTGCTTTCTGAGAGCCCTTCTACACAGGCCCCAAACCCGTGATGGCTTCTAGATTAGCCTGAGGTGTCCAAACAACACCTCAGGCTAATCTGAATTAACTCAGAATAAACCTGAATTTCCAGGTTTACCCCAGGTTAAAAAACAACTGCAAAGATCTGGACATTTCAATAAAGTCTGGATCTTTGCAAGTGTTGCGCCTGTAGAATCATAGAATCATAGAATCAAAGAGTTGGAAGAGACCTCATGGGCCATCCAGTCCAACCCCCTGCCAAGAAGCAGGAATATTGCATTCAAAGCACCCTGACAAATGGCCATCCAGCCTCTGCTTAAAAGCTTCCAAAGAAGGAGCCTCCACCACACTCCGGGGCAGAGAGTTCCACTGCTGAACGGCTCTCACAGTCAGGAAGTTCTTCCTAATGTTCAGATGGAATCTCCTCTCTTGTAGTTTGAAGCCATTGTTCCGCGTCCTAGTCTCCAAGGAAGCAGAAAACAAGCTTGCTCCCTCCTCCCTGTGGCTTCCTCTCACATATTTAGACATGGCTATCATATCTCCTCTCAGCCTTCTCTTCTTCAGGCTAAACATGCCCAGTTCCCTAAGCCGCTCCTCATAGGGCTTGTTCTCCAGACCCTTGATCATTTTAGTCGCCCTCCTCTGGACACATTCCAGCTTGTCAACATCTCTCTTGAATTGTGGTGCCCAGAATTGGACACAATATTCCAGGTGTGGTCTAACCAAAGCAGAATAGAGGGGTAGCATTACTTCCCTAGATCTAGACACTATGCTCCTATTGATGCAGGCCAAAATCCCATTGGCTTTTTTTGCCGCCACATCACATTGTTGGCTCATGTTTAACTTGTTGTCCACGAGGACTCCAAGGGATTGACTCTCACTTTATCTTAGTCCAAAGGTTGAGAAGCGATCCCAAGGGTCAATTCCCAGTGCTATCTTGGTTTTTTGGGCTCCAGGATCCCAAGGGAGACCCTGCCAGCCCCTCATTTCCCCCCTAAATGTACCAGAGAGACCTGCCTCCATCTGCAAGCCTCTTGGACTAAGCCCCTTTTCTCTCCAAAGCTCATGATGTATCCTTTTGGCATGACAGGAGCTTAATTCTGTTTGGGGGGGGGGGATGGGGGGGCTGAATAGCATCCCAGGTCTATGTGGGAGGACATTTAGCCTTCCCCCCTAAATTGTGAAATTTTGGCCCTTTGTGTGACTTAAATCCTGATGGGATTTTCAAATTCAGTTCATTTTGGGATTTAGGCCAGACTGGAAGGCTCAGAGCTTAAAACTTGCAAACTACTTTTGTACTTTGAATTGAATTAGCAGCAACTGAATGAAGCCGAGGACATGGCTTGCTCACTTGCTTGCGCTGAAAATGAAACTGACTTTGGGAAACTTCCAAGGATTACAAAATTTAAACGAAAATCTTGGGTGAGTGTTTTGATTCTTAAGTTTCTGCGTGGGTGCCCCCCTCTTTTTAAAATATCTGTTTGATATGCAAATATTATGAATTAGATACAACAAATAAATTAAAAATGAAGTTTTGCATACCCCTAGTGTCCACACTAAAATACTCTGTTACTTAAGAGAGTTTATACACTCAATGGAAGAAATTTGGCATTATGTATTTATAGCATTTTTCTTTTACCTCAAAACCCAGCAAGGTGACCAAGACAATACACAAAGGGTAATAACTTTTAGAATACATCAATAAAAGCATTTGAAAACTAATTAAATTATATATGCAGGTTACTAACACAGGTGGAGTAGAATTTTAAGTATCAGAGCACTGCCTTTGCTGTCTGCCAGAAAATAGGAAGGGAAGGAGCCAGACTTACTTTCCTTGGAAAGGAGTTCCACAATTAGGTGACTGCTACAGAGGAGTCTACCCTCATGGGTTGTGGTGCATGCATCAGGGCTTCTGACTAGTTTATTTGATTATCTGATAGATTTTGTATTGCCATGTTGATATTCCTTATATTTGATAAAACTGAGAATATTTTTTAAATGCCACCTCATTATTCGCATTTCCTTCACTAAATATCTCCACAGATAATTTATCTTGCTATCAGGACAAATGGGGAAACGATCACCACTGAGTCTTTAAAGCTATAAACTATATATGTTAAACAGGGTTGCTTTGACCTTAGACTATTATTTCTGTAAAGCTTTAATATAATGTTGGTTTTCTTGAAGTTACCATCAATAATTGATTCTGTGTTTCTGAGAACGAGCAGACTAGATGGCATCGTTTTTAGATTGTAAGTTGATGGCTTGGTTTATGTTATTTCAGATTGAGCTTCCTTGGCCTCATCTCTGACCCCATCTACACTAATCATTTAATGGAGTTCGAAACCAACTTCAAACTGCAGTGGCCAGACAACAAATACCCACAAAAGTGTGCAAAAGAAAATCCTTAATGCACATCACTACTCTTTGTGCATCTCACCATCCAGGCCTCAATCTGTTTCCAGGATTTCTTATGTAATTATCTGCATAGTGAAACCATTTTTTTTCAATACTGGTTGGAAACTACATTAAATGATCTGTGTAAATGTGCCCAAAGTGTTGTTTGGAAACTTGAATAAGGAGACTATTGCTACACACTTGCCTGGGAGAAAGTCTCATTTGAAGGAACAAGATTTTAACAACCCATTAAAAATGGTCATGAAAGCATTATCAGCAGTAGTAAGATTTTTAATGCTTTAATAAGAGCAAAACGTTTTTCTTTGGGTGCATCTACATTGTAGAAGTAGTGAAGTTGGACATCACTTTAAGTGCCACGGCTCAATGCTTTGTAATCATGGAAGTTCAGTTGTACAAAGTGTTTAATCTTGTTTGCCAGAGGATTGGTGCCTCATCAAACTATAAATCTCAAGATTCCATAGCATTAAGCCATGACAGCTGAAGTGCTGTCAAACTGCATTACTTCTACAGTATAGATGCACCCAAAGAAATACTTTTTCTTCTTATTAAAGTGTTAAAATCTTGATGTAGGAGAATATGGCACAGATTGGGAGGAGTCTCCTCTGTTGTACTTTTTTTTTAGATACAAAAAGGAAACGTGTGAGATGGGATGAGTAGTTATCCAGTCATCATGTAGCATTCTTAAGTGATGGGTTGCCTGATAAAAATGCGAGGCATGTGTGATAAGATTCATGATTAACATTGCTTTTCTACACAGTGATGAATATTGGCAGAACATCTACAGCTATGGTATGATCCCCTTATGTATGGATGTGATATCTATTTTTTCATTTACTCAAATCAAAAATACCCCTAGGATTGTTTATGAGCCCCCAAGGTCCTCCATTGCAATTCTATGATATGTTTCTGGCTCAAGTATAGACAAAATACAGGATTTGCTCTTATTCATTGTTTCAGGTATTCAGATGAGGTCTTGGGATGCATTCCTCATGAGTACAGGTGTTATACTGGGGGAAAATATGAGGGATAATTTCATGTCACTTCTATTCTTACTACTTTAGAATATTGCCTCTAAAGCTGTAACCATTGGGCACAATTTACTAAGATTGTAACCTATTTTGACTACATAGTCATAAAGTTATGGTGTTAATACCCTAAAAGCAATCACTTATATCAGCCAGACTGTGTAAAATATTTAGAAAATATGTAGTCATATAATACCACCATGTAACATAAGCTGAGGACACTATATGACATTTGTGAATTCATACAGAAAATGTGTCCTGACTTCTCATGCATCCAGATGAGGAATGCTAACTGAGGATGTGTGTGTGTATAGACAAGACACTCACTGGCATTCTGGCTATATTTATGTTCTGTTTTAAAAGAGACTCATAATTCATTTCAAATGAAGTCTCATTGAGTATAGTGAGGTTAATTCCCAAGAAAGAGGGTATGTTTGGAGTCTTCAGACTGTTCAGTTACGAAAGCAGCACATATCACAACACACACACACACTCTCACACATATATATGTTTTAAAGGCATATGTCTTCTTGCTAGAGTTCCTTGCCAAGGTTAATTAACAGGAAGTCTGCCTAATCTCCACTGATACATCCCAGCAGTCTGCAGAGTAGGTGTTCACAGACTCAGAACATGTTTCTTTAGCAGGGATTTTGGATGGCTGGGAGAGAAAATCTGTGCTCTTAAGGATTACATAAAATTATTTTCTGAGGATAAGTGAGCCAATTTTTCATTTGGAATCCTTCTGAGTGGCTTATAATAACAGCCCCTATTAGATCCTTACCAGATGGAAACTAAGAGGAGTATATATATATTTGTCTGTCAAATACATTGCTCATTTATTGACAGTAAAGAGAATACTGAAAATTAAAACAGAACCTTCTCCTCTGATTCTTTACGTATTGAGTCTTCTCTGGAAGGGATTGTTTTTGCTGTGTTGTACTTGCTGCCCCTCGTCTTAAAAACTGGAGCAGTTTTTCATAATTTACCTACAAGAAAAACAAAGAAGTTTCCTTTTGAAAGCTGATTAGAAAAAGGTCTCTGTGATTAGTTGACCTGACTTTGTGGAAATTATTTTATAACACATTTCTTACAGAAATAAGACAAAATAATTATTGTAATTAAGACAAGGTAAGTTTGAGTCTGTCTGCCTGTAACAGTGGTTTGTAAGAATCTAGTCACAGAAAACTGTTATTAATTCCTCTTCCCAATACAAAATTAGCATTTCTGTAACATATCATTATTGTAACAAAGAATGATTTGTTGTATAACTGCAGTGTCTTGGGGTAATAAAATAGTTTTGGGTTTCATTCAGTAAATGAGGAAAAATATTGCCTGAATGAGGTGCTAGGTAATACTGTACTTGTGCTGTTGAACAAAACACATCCATTTTTTTTTAAAAAATTAAAAACTAACTACAACCAACAAGTTCATTACCGATATATATACACACACACACCGATATATATACACACACACACGATATATATACACACACACACATAAGAAATAATTTTGAAGTTGCAGCAATAGTGGCAACTGACTACTTTGATAAATCTTGGAACATTTTAAGCCTTTATTTTTAGGCAGGAGAACTTTGGGGTTCTGGTAGCAGGTTGATGGGATGCTAAGATCACTCTGGGCTTTAGTTCAAAAGAGGTAATCAAGGTGCAGAAAACCACTATGACCAGCATCAAGGATGATACTGGTGGAGTATCTCTCAGAGATAACAGCAGTAGCGCCATAAATAATGCTCATCAGTACTACACAGAAGAAGGCAATGATAAACCAATCCTGAAGCCTTTTACTTTGAAGGTTGAAAAAGAATAATCTGATAAGAAGTTAATTTAATTATTTCAGATGTGGTGCTGTGGGGAGAGTTCTTCAGATAACCTATACTGCCAAAGGGACAAATACATGGTTCATAAAGCAAATCTAACCTGTGTCATCCCTGGAAGCCAAGATGACAAAATGAAGACTATTGGTCTTCGGACATATTCAAAGTCTAATATTTATTATTTATTTATTTCGGTTGCTTCTACCCTGCCCTTCTCACCCCGGAGGGGACTCAGGGCGGCATACAAAAGCAAGGCACAATTCGATGCCCGCATCACATAACAGCAATAAGACAATAACATCAGTTAACAGAAAACAGCAATTCTAGCAATAATATCAATTAACAGAAAACAATAATTATTGTAAGGCAAAAACAACTATAAAACCAGTAAAAGCAATAAAACCAATACAAACCATTTCTCCTCATTGACGGTCAGCATTTCGCAATCTCATAGTTCAAATTCCAGTTCCACAATTGTCAGTCCTTTCAGTCCTATCCATCTGGTTGTCCATATCTAGTTGTCAGATTGCCCAAAGGCCTGGTCCCACAACCATGTCTTTACCTTCCTCCTGAAGGAGAGGAGGGATGTTGATGCCCTAATTTCCCCCGGGAGTGAGTTCCACAGGTGAGGGGCCACCACTGAGAAGGCCCTGCTCCTTGTCCCCGCCAGCCTCACTTGTGATAGCGGTGGGGTCGAGAGCAGGGCCTCCCCAGATGATCTCAAGTTCCGGGGTGGGACGTAGAGGAAGATACGTTTGGACAGATACACTGGACCGGAACCATAAAGGGTTTTGTAGGTCAAAACCAGCACCTTGAATTGTGCTCAGAACTGAACTGGCAGCCAGTGGAGCTGACACAACAGGGGGGTGGTGTGCTCCCTGTATGTCGCTCCGGTGAGCAATCTGGCTGCCGCTTGCTGGACCAGTTGAAGTTTCCGAACAGTCTTCAAGGGCAACCCCACGTAGAGTGCGTTGCAGTAGTCTATTCGGGATGTAACAAGAGCGTGGACCACTGTGGCCAGATCAGACTTCCCAAGGAACGGGCGCAACTGGTGCACAAGTTTTAATTGTGCAAAAGCTCTCCCGGCCACCGCTGAGACCTGGGGTTCCAGGCTCAGCGATGAGTCCAGGATCACTCCCAAGCTGCGAACCTGAGTCTTCAGGGGGAGTGTAACCCCATCCAGCACAGGCTGTAACCCTATGCCCTGTTCGGCCTTACGACTGACCAATAGGACCTCTGTCTTGTCTGGATTCAGTTTCAATTTGTTAGCTCTCATCCAGTCCGACACAGCAGCTAGACACCGATTCAAGGTCTGGACAGCCTCCTTGGTGACAGGTGAGAAGGAGTGACAGATCTGGACATCATCTGCGTAGAGATAACACCTCAGTCCGAAACTCGAATGATCTCCCCCAGCGGCTTCATGTAGATGTTAAACAACATTGGGGACAGAATTGAACCCTGAGGGACTCCACACGACAACGGCTGTGGGGCCGAACAGGTGTCATCCAGTAACACCTTCTGGGACCGTCCCTCAAGAAAGGACTGGAGCCACTGCAAAGCAGTACCCCCAAGTCCCATATCTATGAGGCGTCCCAGAAGGATACTGATCGACGGTATCGAAGGCCGCTGAGAGGTCCAGCAGAACTAACAGGGACACACTCCCCCTGTCTAGCTCCCTGCGAAGATCATCTACCAAGGCGACCAAGGCTGTTTCCGTTCCATGTCCCGGTCTAAAGCCAGACTGTGCCGGATCTAGATAATCAGTGTCTACCAGAAATCCCTGGAGTTGTGCTGCCACCACACGTTCCATGACTTTGCCCAAATAGGGGAGATTGGAAACTGGCCAATAGTTGTCTAATTGAGTGGGGTCCAGTGATGGTTTTTTCAACTGAGGTTTTATGATAGCCTGTTTTAAGCTCGCTGGAATCTTGCCCTCCTGCAAGGAGGCATTAACCACCACCTTCACCCACTCTGCCAAACCCCCTCTGGCTTCTTTTATCAGCCAGGATGGACAGGGGTCTAGGATGCATGTGGTAGGTCGCACCTCTCCAAGGATCCTGTCCACATCCTCAAGCTGAACCAATTGAAATGAATCCAATAAAACCGGACAAGCAGATGCTCTCGTTACATCCTCAGAGACTGCAGTTAAAGTGGCGTCAAACCCGACCGAATCAGCGCAATTTTATCAGCGAAGAATCGAGCAAATGCTTCACAGCAAGCTCCCGAGCTGTCAGGGATCTCACTTTTCGGCGGATTTAACAGACTCCTGACAACTTGAAAGAGCTCAGCTGGACGGTTCTTCGCAGATGCAATATTGGCTGCAAAGGATGTTTTTTGTGCTGCCGCTATTGCCACATCTTAGGACCTTAGAAAGGCTTTCAGATGTGTTTGGGCTGATTTAGTCGGATTCCGGCACCACACGTGCTCTAGCCACCTCTTCTTTCGCTTCATTGCTGCCAGCTCCTCAGTGAACCAAGGGGCATGACTAGCTCGGTTACTCGAGAGGGGGCGTTCCGGGGCGATTGTATCGATTGCCCTAGTCATCTCAGAATTCCAGCGAGAGACCAAGGCAGAATCGACAGAATCACCAGCCAAGGAGGTGGGAAGTTCCCCAAGAGCCGTCAGGAAACCATTTGGATCCATAAGTCTCCTGGGGCGGACCATTCTAATGGGTCCACTACCCCTGCAGAGGTTGGGAGATACAGTAAGTCTAAACCTGGTCAGGTAGTGGTCGGTCCATGGCAATGGAACGATGGTCAGCTCCTCCACCCCGACACTGTCATCCCATCCCTGAGAAAAGACCAAATCCAGTGTGTGTCCGGCAGTATGGGTGGGACCACATACTAATTGGGACAGGCCCATGGTTGCCATGGCGGCCATAAAGTCCTGAGCTGCTCCTGAAAGAGAGGTCTTGGCATGGACATTGAAATCCCCCAGGACTAAAAGCCGCTGGGAGCTCAATGCCATATCCGAGACCACTCCTGCTAGCTCAGGTAGGGAGACTGTCGTGCAGCGGGGTGGTCGGTACGCCAACAGAATCCCTATCCTGTCCCGGTCACCTAACCTGAAGCCAGCACATTCAAATGAAGGGGATTGTGGGATGGGGCACCTGATCAGGGGAATAAAATTCTTATAGACCACTGCAACTCCTCCTCCCCTCCCTAGGAAAGGCAATAAGGCTTAGCAAAGGGATGGGCAATAGGAATAGAGGTAAACAACACCGAAGATTAATTGACTTATGTAAGGATGCTATGGTTTTGAGTCTGCAAGATCTGAGTGGGGCTATTGATGACAGAGTGTCTTGGAGATCTCTTGGGATTTCATCACACAGGGGACTCCTCCCCATGCTGTTTCGCCAAGCACTGTGGCAAAACAGTAGGAATTAGAGGTGATTCTGTCACCCCACACACCACTTGATTTTGGCAATGCTTCCCCAATCACATGGAGGAAGCATAGCTGAAGCAGCACGAATCCATGCTTGCTCCATTAGGGCCAACACAACATGGGCAGGCCCACCATGTTTAGTAGGAAGCTTTCTAAGATGCTTCAATTCCAGTTGTGGGTGGGGCCTCTGCAGGAGGAGTGACATCATGTGATGGGCAGCTTGCCCATTCATCGCTGGACTGGCAGGGAAGTGTACTAGGATGCTAAAAAAGCCCTATGTGATGAAGCGGCTATTCATACTGTCACCATGAGTCAAAGTTTACTTGATGGCAGTTAACAACAACACATAGCATTTAACATTAGTTTAATAGTTAAGAAACATCATCTGTATTACAAAATGGTAAACAAGCTTTTTTTTTTTTTTAAACACCCATTGTACCCAAATTACATATAACCCTTTTTACTATAATTACAAATGTTGTATAAACTCACCAATTCTTGAGCATTTGCATTTGAAAACTTCATGAAAAGGAGTTTGACAGTTGGCAATTGCAGAGGAACTTCGTGTTTTAAGAGTAAGTGGCTCAGCTGTGTCTGAGATAGAAATCCTGAAACCCTGCAGTCCAAAACCTTGCATTCTTCCTGCAGTTTGTCTATTATAGTCAGGCTCAAAGGATACTGTTCTTTTTTGAGGATAGCCAAAAGGGAATCATTTTCCTCATATATATCTCTTGATTTTTCCATGATATTCTGAATTATAAAAAATAACAAATACAGGTATTTAAAATGTTTTTAACTAAAGTGGCAATTTAAGATATATCAATATTATTTATTTATTTATTTATTAACTGCATTTCTATACCGCGTTTCTCACCCCTGGGGGGACTTAAAATGGCTTACAACATAATAAATGGCAAATTCAATGCCTCACATATATACAAAAAATCACATATCCAAATCAGTAACATATAAATATAGAAAATAACCATTAAAACTATAAAAACATCAAGCATAGACATAAGCATGAAACATATTATTGCTGCAATTAACAATGTAGACCCCCTTCACTTCCCCCCACTCTCTCTCATAGTGTTCAGCCCTTCTTTTTATACCCTCCCTGCTCCACCCGCATCCCATCAGACACAAAGTTATTTAGGTACAGATTGAATACAAAATGGAAAGCGTAAAAAAAAATACACCCTGGGCTTTCTTGGGGGATTGTAAATGTTATATTGGGTCCTTGTGGCAAGGAAGAAAATATTACAGGCTTTGGTATTTTTTTTAAAAAACCCTCCTCTTCAGCAGCTGGTCATTTCCAAAAGCCCACCTGAATGATACAATCTTTGGCCCCTTCTACACATCTGTATAAGACTCACATTATCTGGTTTGAACTGGATTATATGGCAGTGTAGATTAAGATAATTCAGTTCAAATCAGATAAAGCCCTAAACGGTTCTGGCCCTGCTTACCTCTCCGAACGCATCTCCACCTATGAACCGACCAGAACATTAAGATCGTCTGGGGAGGCCCTGCTCTCGATCCCGCCTGCGTCACAGGCGCGCTTGGCGGGGACGAGAGACAGGGCCTTCTCAGTGGTGGCCCCTCGGCTATGGAATGCCCTAACGGCAGACATCAGACAGGCACCTTTGCTGCTGACGTTTTGGAGAATGGTTAAGACCTGGCTTTATGAACAAGCGTTTGGTTAAGCAGTGCAACCAATCATAGGAAGACGGTAAATGGAACATAGGAATGGCACAAGGATTATGAGAACGGATCTGATTTCAACTGAGGCGTTATGTTATGTCTGTTTTGTTGATCTGTCTTGTTGATTGTTAACTGTTGTGGATTGATGCTGTTGATCCTGTTTGTTGCATTGTTATGTTTTAATTGCACTGACACTGTTTGATAATTGTACCATGTAAACCGCATTGAGTCGCCTGTTAAGGGCTGAAAAATGTGGTATAGAAATAAAGCAAATAAATAAATAAATAAATAAATAAATAAATAATGTAGATTTACTGCTTCGATAATCTGGATTATCTGGCAGTGTAGAAGGGGCCTTTGTTAGTTAAAGGACAACCTTACCTTCCTCACTAAGGAATTCCTCAGTCACTGGGAAAACCCCCCATAAATGACAATATTTATTTATTAATTCTGTGTGTGTGTGTGTGTGTGTGTGTGTGTGTGTGTATGATATATTTTGATAAATGTAATGTATCAAAAAGTACTGCATCCAGACCATAAGTGTTTTTCCCCGAAACTAAGAAAACTCTTTCAGGATTGGGCTGCTGTGAGTTTTCCAGGTTTACAGGATTATTTCATAACATGTGCTGTTGTCTTGCAAACAAAGCAGGAAATGACTTCTTCCATTTTCATGTGCCAAAGACAAGGAGGGTTACATGCTAATTGCAGACACACTCCAATTGGTCAACCCAGGTCCCTTTCACACAGCTGTAAAAATCCTACATTATCTTCTTTGGACTGGGTTATATAGCAGTGTGGATTCAGATCTCCCAGTTCAAAGCAGATATTGTGGATTATCTGCCTTGATATTCTGGGTTATATGGCTGTGTGGAAGGGACCTCTGAAGCAAGGAGTTTGAAAATTCTAAAATGGGAACACTGACATTCCTAAAAACCTTAAAGTCACCAGATCCTATCTGATTTTGGAAGCTAAGCAGGGTCAGTCCTGGTTAGATCTTAGTGCCCTTCCACACAGCCTTATAACCTTGAATATCAAGGCAGATAATCAACAATATCTGCTTTGAACTGGATTATCTGAGTCCACACTGCCATATAATCTAGTTCAATGTGCATTTTATACAACTGTGCAGAAGGGGCTTTGGATGGAAAAGTGCCAATGAATCGCAGGTGCTGTATACTATATTTCAGAGGAATTGGGGGGGGCACCTTTAGGTACTCCTTGCCTAAGGAAACCTTTTGAAATTAATGGGATCACAGTAAGTAGACAGATAACTTGAAGACATATACACAAAGCAAGTTCTGAGAGCATCCAAACATACCAAGATAGACTTATGCTTCAAATGATTCCTCTTTGTGTCTCAGCTCAAAAGTAACAGGGAAACGTAGCATGATACCAACCCCTTCCTTCAGATCCAAAATCCAGGATCAACATGCTTATGCACAAATAACAATTGAATTACACTGAAACAATTATAAGCAGCATATTCCTTGTATTCAAAATATCTCTTTAAAAAACAAAATAAAACATCAAAGGAACACTTCTTAAAACCACTAGCTAATGATGGTTACAAACTCATATTTAGTTACCTCTTGTCTTTCAAGTTGTCCTGAAGTCTGTGGTCCAACAAATGGTTTTTTGAGAGTATGAATGTAGGATAAAGACTTGTCTCCAGAAGGAGCAGTGACACAATGCTTATTTACTGGCTTTAAATCCTGGAATGAATAGTTAAAAGAAATGCAATAAAGGGAAAACATTTTTTTCTGGAACATTAGTACAAATTTTAAAACACTTAATAAGAAAATATGTAGTGTATGGCCTGGTCTATCTATATCTATATATATAATAAAGAAGAGTGTTTGTTTGTATAGGACAGAGGAAGGACGGAGGGAGGGCGGAAGTGTATGTGCCAGCGTTCTGATTGGCTGCCGCTGTGGTGCTATTTGCATATGGTCTCTGATTGGCCAGCTTCAATAGGAGCCCCTGGTGGAGAAGAGGGTTCATGGCAGAAACGGGGCATGACAGAAGGAAATTTGCATATGGTCTCTGATTGGCCAGCCTCATTTCCAACATTCCGAGATGACAAAGAGAGGAAAGGAAAGGTCGGGGGCTGGGTCAGTACACTCCCAATACAGACAAAACTTGCCACACAAAGCCCCCATGACCCACTCGACATCCTACTGCAGTTTGGAGGAGGATGAACCATGGATGATGGGACTTGCAGTACTCACATTCTGAGACCGCTGTTAACCTCATCCAATGACTGATCAGGACCAAACTGATCAGATAGACCTCTCATGACCCACATAGACCTCTCACTGTACGTCCTGGTGTGGTTTGGCCGGGGATGGACCGTGGATTATGGGACTTGCAGTACCATTGCTCAATTCTTCAGACCACTGCAACCCTCATCCAATTACCAATAAATACCAAACTTGGCATGTCTCCATGACGCACTCTACATCCAGGTGCAGTTTGAAGGAGGATGCACCAGGGACGATGGGACTTGCAATACCTGCACTCCCTTCCTAAGACCATTACAACTGCCAACGATGATGGATCAGGACCACAATTTACACAGAGAGCCTGCATAACTCACTCTACATCCTGGTGCGGTTTGGAAGAATTTGACAATGGATGATGGGACTTGCAGTCACTTCAATCACTTCCTGAGACCACTGAGACCCTCGCCAATGACACATCAAGACTAAACTTGGCACATGGAGCTTCAATGACCCACTCTACATCCTGGAGCACTTTGGAGGACGACAGACAATGGATGATGGGACTTCAAGTACCTCCACTACCCAAGACTGCTGCAAAACTCATCTAATGACCAATCAAGACCAACGTTGGCACACAGAGCCCCCATGACCCACTCTACATCCTGCTGCAGTTTTGGAGAAGGGTGGACCATGGATGATGGAACTTCCAGTACCTTCACTCACATTCTGAGACCTCTGCAAACCTCATCCAATGACGGATCAAGACCAAACTTGGCACATAGACCTCTCATGACCCACTTTACGTCCTGGTGTTGTTTGGAAAAATTTGGAGATGGATGATGGGACTTGCAGTACCTTTGCTCACTTCCTGAGACCACTGAGACCCTCGCCAATGACTCATCAAGACTAAACTTGCCACATGGAGCTGCAATGACCCACTCTACATCCTGCTGCAGTTTGGAGGAGGACAGACCATGGATGATGGGACTTCAAGTACCTCCACTCCCTTCCAAAGATTGCTGCAACCCTCTTCTAATGACCAATCAAGACCACACTTGGCACACAGAGCCCCCATGATCCACTCTACATCCTGCTGCAATTTGAAAGGGGATGGACTTTGGATGATGGGACTTGCAGTACCTTCACTCACTTACTGACACCACTGCCACCCTCATCTAATGACTGATAAAGACCAAACTTGGCACACAGAGCCCTCATGACCCACTCTATAGCCTGCTGCTGTTTGTAGGATGGGCCATGATGATGGGACTTCAAGTACCTTCACTCACTTCCTGAAAATAATGCAGCCGTTATCCAAAGACCAATAAAGACCAAACTTGGCATACAGAACCACCATTACCCACTTTCTCTAATAACCGGGCAACGCCGGGTCCCCAAGCTAGTTAGTTATAAAAAAAACTATGGTTAATATTATGCTTTCACTGGGGAGCTCAAAGCATAAACAATTCCAGGTCTACTACATGACCTCTAGTCAGTAACTGTACTCAGCTTAACTTTAGGAATGTTATTTTATTAATGTGGGAAACCTTCATATACTGTGCCCAAAACTTGATGGAGAAAGACAAGATAAAATATCATATAAACACAGTTCTACCTGGCTAGCTATCACACCAAAACATAGTTTAAGATTGCTGTATGAGGCATGAGGACTCTTCCGCAAGGAGAAGACTGAAAGAATTTGCTTCATGGTTTAAACAAGGGCACTTCAGTACGTCAAAAGTGTGAACCATGGTCAATTTAACAGCAAACTGTATTAAAACAAGAGAAAGCAAGAAACCATCTTGGGTCCATTCTACACTGTCATTATATTCCAGATTTATCCCAGTGGAGACTCATATAATCCAGTTCAAAGCAGATAACTTGACAGCAGGTCCTGGGATATAAGGACAGTGTAGAAGGGGCTTTGGAATACTGTGAACATTATAACAAAAAGCAGTGAATTCAAACCAGAAGTTCTATGTTCTTGAGATAAGTCCCTTTAAAGCACTAGATGAAACCCAAAAGGGTCACTGCCCCCTACCCACATATTATGGAAGCCACCAGCTGTCACAGGACCAATTTTACTCCCATTCTACCCAAATATTTAACATTAGAATCCTCATCCTATTTTCCTCTTTGTAAATTGTTCTAAGTGAGTGGTTCTCAACCTGTGGGTCCCCAGATGTTTTGGCCTTCTACTCCCAGAAATTCTAACAGCTGGTAAACTGGTTGGAATTTCTGGGAGTTGTAGACCAAAACACCTGGGGACCCACAGGTTGAGAACAACTGGTCTAAGCTGAGAATAAGCTTCTGCTTAAGGACTCTACTCTTTATTGCATGGATAGGGTATTTCTCAATTTGTTCTTGCTAATCTATGACAAGGCATTATATTGGCCATGTTTGTAATTGAACTGGCCCTGATTTTGGATTATGTAAAAGAGTGGTGCTCTCCAGGCAACCATTAAGTTGCCAGAATTCAGCGTGGGAGCCAACTTGTCAATTAGCAACTTTTCAATGAAAATAAAATTTTGAAGGTGACAACTGATAGCGTTAATCAACCTCATCACAACATGAAGATATGTGATGGAAGGAAGATTTTGAGAAACCTCATAGGCCACATCTTAAGCCTTGTGTATATCCTGCCTGTGCATATTGAGATGTCAGAGAAAAGTAGCAACTTGTTCTGGTCAGAGAATAATCATTTAAGAGGTCTGATATCTTACCCATATTGATTAAAATGTAGTCTTTAGTCTAAAAATGGAATTATCTATAACCATGACGACTATTCTTATAGGCCATTTGATTACTATATAGTACAATAAATAAAAGCTACATGTTTAGTGTCTATATTTAAAAAACCCCGAAAACATTTGAAGAATGAGAAAAGATTTCTAAAAAAGTTGGAAAACTGAGTAGGGTCAAATGAACCTAAGAATGTGAACAAGCTATGAAAACTAGAAGAAAGAGCAAAGTGAGATGTGGCTGAGAAGTAGAACATTGTATTTTGACACACAAATATTTTCTTTATCTGGTCATCACAGAGCAGAAGCAGGAATCAAGTGGCCAATGAAATATTGCTGGACTACAATTTCTGTCAGGCTTAATGAATATAGCCAATACATGTAAACATGGACATCACTTGATGGATAAACTAGAAATCAAATAGATTACATAATTGGAAGTTTCATTCTCTTCTCCAGCCAAATAAGATCAGGGGCATATTGTGACCCAGACCATGAAATGATATTATCTTAAATTAGAGTAAAGCTAAAGAAGAACATTAAGAACATTAATCCACTGTGCCAAAAGACAACTTGATGAACATTCCTATAGAAGTAAAGAGATGTTTTTAAAATAGATTTGCACTATTCAAACTAATTGACTTGGAGGCAAAAGAATTTTGAACATTATCAGGGAGGAAAGAAAGAAACCACTTTCTTTTGCCAAAAAAGATGGAGAGGTTTAATGGATGATCAATGAAACCCTTCAAGCAATTAAAGACAAACAAGAAGCAAAAGTAAAAGGTGGCAGAAATGGTGGCAGAACCTTGAATGCACTGTTGCAATTTGTATAAAGCAGTGGTACCCAACATTTGATCCTCTGGGTATTTTGGACTTCAACTTCCACAATTCCTAACAGCTGGTAAACTGGCCAGGATTTCTGGGAGATGAAATCCAAAACAACTGGAGGAGCAAAGGTTTGGAACCAGTGGTATAAAGAAACAAAGAGAACTATAACAACCAATGCAGAAAAACAGAAGACAACAACAAAGGAATAAGTTGCAATAAAGAAAGCTAATAGAAAGACAATCAAATAATCTTAAATACAGCTGGAGAAGAGGTCTCTATATAAAGTGGACCACTAAAAAGACCAATAAATAATTCCTAGAGCAAATCAAGTCTGAGGCTACTGAACACATAATGAAAAGATCAAACTCACTACAAATGATTATAATGTTTGGTAAGGTAGAAGGTCTTACAGATTCAGGACTGTATAAAAGCCCTGTAGTAGTTAAAGGCATTGCAGATGGATGGATTCAATCAAGAAAGCCACAGCCTTGAACCTGCAAGATCTCAGCAGGGTCATTAATGATAAGGTGATTTGGTTGGAAGTCTCTCATTCATAGGGTCACCATAGGTCAGAAATGACTTGATGGCAGTCAACAATAACAACAACAAAGCTGCAGCTGAACAAAATCTGGAGGATCATATAAATCCAACTTATATGTAGGGTGCTCTTTAATGCTGGAACAAAGAGGTTATTGCCATTCATTTTAGCCTGTCCAGAAAGAGTAAAATCTGACTGCTGAATTAAACTAAATAGGAACTAAAAAGTTTCCATAACAAGCACATTTTACCAGGCAAAGGTTTTGCAGGAGTATATCAAAGCTATCTTTTAAAAAATTAAAAATTAAATTCTGTACCAAAGCTCAGTCAGTTTTGTACACAGGCCCTTATACACATATTTAACAAGGGCCCCTTCTACACAGCTATATAAAATCCATATTACCAACTTTGAATCAAATTATATGGCAGTGTAGACTAAGATATGTCCTTGTCACATGGTAGCCAGAGTTGCCCCATGTCCTCTTGAATGGCTTGTGGAAAAGGTAATCACCTTGGGGGGGGGGGGAGCGTGGAGTGTGTGGCTTCCTCCCATTGATTCCAACGGCAACACAGGAAGGCTCCTGTGTGGCTGTGGTGGCAGCCTGTGTCAGCTCTGCCCTTCTTCACCCACAGAGCCCTGTCCACATTGTTTGATGGAGCCAGCAGGCTCTGTGAGTGCCCTGGGCTAAACCAGCACATTTTTCCCATTTTAGCCCCGTGTGAAGAGGTCCCTAATCTAGTTCTAATCAGATAATGTGGATTTTTTGCTTTGATAATCTGTATTATCTGGCAGTGTAGAAGAGGCTTAAATTTTCTACTGCTGTTTGATTTGTTATATGCAAATATCATTAATGTATGTGTTTTAGGGGTTTTTTGTACTTTGTTTTTTGTACTAGAGAATTGCATAGAATTAGAGAAGTGTGAAAATTATGTTATTTTGTTTTGGATATTAATTTGAATATGTCACATTAGACTGGTTAATACTCAAGTGCCAATGGGACATATTTTTCCTCTATTTCTATGAGAAACCCATGAGAATTAGCAATCATGACTTTTAGAGCAACTTACTTTACTGCCCACAGATTTGCTATCATTCATTTCTGCTTGTTGAGACTTATGTTCTTCCTTTTCACCTTTGTTCTGTTGTTCATCATTGAGAGCATAATTGATTTGTTGACAAGGAGGTTTACTGAGGCCTAGAGCGTTTCCACGTGTCTGCCTTGTATTACATGGGGGTAATGTTTGGAGCATGGATTGTATCTCAGCTTTCACACCCTCCTTTGCTTTGCTGTCAGGAAACAGGCAAACAATATATCTATTGATATTTAAGCAAATCACACTATGCAATCATTTATATTACATAACATTACATAATAATGCTACAGCTATTTGTTTCTTGCAGCATTTTCTAGCTGGGTAGAAGTAATATAATCAGTGAAATGGATTTTAAGACTAGGGACTATAAGAGCAGGGAAAGTTTACAGTGAGCCATGGGGGTTGGGTTCAAGGACCTCCGATGAATATCAGAAATTGTGGATGCTTGAGTTCCATTGAATGCAATGTCATAGTGTTCCTTATACAAAATGGCAAAAATCAGGATTTGGTTTTATGATTTTTAAAAAAAATTCAAGTCATGGACGGTAGAATCAATAGATGCATGATTCATGGATATGGAAAGAAAACTATAATTCTGAGCAAAGCAATCTTAAGAAACAACAGCACTCTGCTAATATTGCTGAGATGTTACCTTCCATGGCCTAAATTCAATTGTTACTTCCAAGTTGGATCATTGCAACAATGGGAATTTAGTAACCCAACACCTATATGCCAATTTGTTTGCTCTAGTTATCAGCTCATATGTTTCACATTTTGGAGATAACTTGTATGAAAAATGATAGAAAATAGTCTTATTCAGACAGAATGGAAAAGTTTGGTACACTCCGGGGAAAAAAAGTATCCCAAAGTGGCACTGACAAGAGAGGCTTTCAGAAGACTTGTTAACATCAAGAGGAGTCAAGCCAAGAATCATGGTATAAAATAAATTCAGTGTTGGCTTGCTTGTTCCATCAAGGTAGGGCCAAACTAATAATATGGAGAAATGGAATAAATCCCACCCTCTTCCACAAACAGATCCTTGGATGAAAATTTTCTGGAGACAAGCTTTGTGATGTCCAATGACAAGGTATAGCTTGTAAATTTACTCTTCAGAAGGATGAAAATAATGACATAGTAAAAGGTGAAAGATTTATACGATCTGAAAAGAAACCAGATTATGAAAAACAATGACATAGTAATGAGTTGTATGGCTGTGTTCTGGGACACACAACATCACCCCACCTTTGCTGATGTAATGGGTGGCTTCAGTGTGTCATTATATTCATTCATCTTAAGAAACCTTTCCATGCTCTGCTTTCCACCTGGGTTTGAGCAGCCTATGGAAATCCTAAACCTTATTTGGAGACAATGCAATCACCATATTTCTGCAAAGGAAAGCAGGATTCACCAATAGTTTCTCATGGATAGGGCTCTCCATTAGAAGAGGCAATAGACAGCTTCCTCCTGCCCTTTTTGTTTGTGTATTGCTGTTGCTGCCACTATCAATAGTGGCAGCAGAAGTTATACAGCAGCTATTATTTTTCTTCATCCACTACGATCTAGAACTTGTGATATTTCAGAACATAAGGGTGGAATAGTAACTCCTTAAGTTTAAAAAAAATGATACAAAACATTGGGAGAAATTTTTGCCAGAAGAGAGAGAGAGGGAGAGGGAGGGGGAGGGAGGGAAAGGGAGAAAGGAAAGCAAAATCCTAGAAACTGCATAGAGAAAAATGTCTTCTGAAAAATTTTAGTTTATTGTGCAGGGAAAATGATGGAAATCTATTCATATTATTTGGACGTTAAGGAAGGGAAGCATGCACATAAGCATGTTTAATCCAATTGAGTTATATAAAAATGAGATGTATCAATCTCATATGTGCTTAACATACATGTGTGTACAGAGTCCTGTATTAGATAGAGATTTTATACCATTTTACTTTATGCTATTATATGGCTTGCTGCAATTTGACAGTGATCACATTTTGTATAGGATCTTCTATTATTCAAACATAAAAGAAATGCAAAATTCTTAATTACATATTTAAAAAATATTTTTTGAGATGATGCTTACCCATTTTTTTTTTCTACACGACATTGGATGTATTTGCTCCCAATTATTTTTGTGACAGTCTCATAATTTGAATTAGACCCATAAGGGTTGTTCTTGACTGAAGCCATTCTCAGAATCTCTTTACAAAATGATCTGTCCCTGTAATTTTAAAAGGCACACTATTGGTGATTTTCTTCAAAAAAAACTTTTCCATCTTTTCCCCTAAACAGAACTAAGATGGGCATCATGGTTCTCAAATATTGTAGGAAAGGCCCCAGTAATGTTGTTATTTTCAGGAGCTTCTAATTTCTAGGACTCTCCCAAGCAAAGGGTTAGTATCCCTTTTTGATTTCCCCAATGCCCTTGCAGTTGAAGATAATAAGAAATGCATGGAAATACAGAGCAAACGAAGTTACAATATATAGAGCCTTATGGACAGGCATGTAGCGGGGGGGGGGGGGGGGGGGCTTGAGGGGCTTCAGCCCCCCCCCCGAAATTCTCATGGTGGTTCGCGAAAAGGCCTTACTGGTACATTATTTAAACTGTTATGTTTATTCATATCATGATCTGATCACCATACTCAATATATCCCATATGCATGGGGTATTGGGGTAATGATACAAAAGGTTTGCTAGGGCTAGACCCTCTTTCACTCAGACTCAGCGCCCCCCCCAGAAACTCAGCCCCCCGAAACCCCCCCTGAAAAAAATTCAGCCCCCCCCCCCCCCCGAAATGAAATCCTGGCTACGGGCCTGCTTATGGACCACAACTCCAAGAACTGTCCACTCAGCATAGCCAATTTTAATATTCACTGGCGGTTTCTGGTCTTCTGTCCTCATAGGACTGTGACTTTTTAAAGGAGCCAGCTGCATTAAAATTAGTGAGATATCCCCAAACTGTTTTTAGTCTTTTGCAATTGACCATTTACATGATAATTGCAGGTTTAGCTACTGGGGGAACAGGGCAGCAAAATGAAGATATTGCCTTCAAATAAGAGTTCTGTCCCTCAAATGAATTTTTTTGTTGGTCCCTACATTTTCACGATTGCAGAAACTTCAAATTTTAGTTGAACATTTAGGAATACATTCTGAAACCATGCCTTTAGAGATGTAGCTCCCACGATGAAGTTCTGTCATTGTAGCTGTGTCTTGCAATGCTACCCAATGCTCTTTGAAGGCAGAGAGCTCTCTGTCACATAGAGATTTCTGAGCCACAGGAAAGCAGAATATTAAATTATTTGTGCAGCCCTCTTTGCATAGCATGGCATGATGAAAGATGCTGCTTGTTGCACCTTGCTGTGGGTATGAGATGGATACATCATTTCTCACTTCAGATATCCTGCCCTGTATTGGAGTTGGGGGGGGGGGGGTTGTCTGACTTAAAATGTAGGTTGGTGGAAGGTTTTCAGTCGGAGCAAAGATACAATTACTGTAAAAGTGAATTCCAATTATTATTATTCTGTTTGTTTGGTTTGCAGCTTTGTATATCCTGAGCAGGATGCCACCAACAGTTTAGGTATCTAAAGAAATAGGGCAGGCAATGTTACCAAGGGAATGAGAACACAGCAAATGTAAGAGTTCTAGATATGAACAATTGTTAATGTCTTCTTCTTTGCAGTGCTAGAAATCTGGGGATTGATGGGAAAATTCATTTATGAATCAAAATTCATATTTGGAGGCCATGCATTCTTTCTCCTTCTTTACATAGGTACATCAATGTGACCAACTGAGGAACCATTTTTGGAAGTACTAGTAAGCAAAAATGAGAAATGTTTTTGTTTTCATCTGGCTTATTCTCCTTAGATATTACTATGTGAACATACTGCAATTCTTATTAATACTTGTTTTAAAATCTGTAATGATTGTTCAGCTTCAGCAATTTAGGCACATTTCAAAATATTTCCTATTACTCCTATCATTTGGGCATTTTCATACTATAGAAATTGTGCTAAGTAAATCCTCCTTGTACATACTTCTTAAAAAATGAGATGTGATACCCCTTATTAGAATCATAGAGTTGGAAGAGACCTCATGGGCCATCCAGTCCAACCCCTGCCAAGAAGCAGGAAAATTTCATTCAAAGCACCTCTGACAGATGGCCACCCAGCCTCTGTTTAAAAGCCTCCAAAGAAGGAGCCTCCACCACACTCCGAGGCAGAGAGTTCCACTGCTGAACAGCTCTCACAGTCAGGAAGTTCTTCCTCATGTTCAGATGGAATCTCCTCTCTTGTAGTTTGAAGCCATTGTTCCGCGTCCTAGTCTCCAAGGAAGCAGACAACAAGCTTGCTCCCTCCTCCCTGTGGCTTCCTCTCACATATTTATACATGGCTATCATATCTCCTCTCAGCCTTCTCTTCTTCAGGCTAAACATGCCCAGCTCTTTAAGCCGCTCCTCATAGGGCTTGTTCTCCAGACCCTTGATCATTTTAGTTGCCCTCCTCTGGACACATTCCAACTTGTCAATATCTCTCTTGAATTGTGGTGCCCAGAATTGGACACATATTCCAGGTGTGGTCTAACCAAGGCAGAATAGAGGGGTAGCATGACTTCCCTAGATCTAGACACTATGCTCCTATTGATGCAGGCCAAAATCCCATTGGCTTTTTTTGCCGCCACATCACATTGTTGGCTCATGTTTAACTTGTTGTCCACGAGGACTCCAAGATCTTTTTCACACATACTGCTCTCGAGCCAGGCGTCCCCCATTCTGTATCTTTGCATTTCATTTTTTCTGCCAAAGTGGAGTATCTTGCATTTGTCACTGTTGAACTTCATTTTGTTAGTTTTGGCCCATCTCTCTAATCTGTCAAGATCATTTTGAATTCTGCTCCTGTCCTCTGGAGTATTGGCTCTCCCTCCCAATTTGGTGTCGTCTGCAAACTTGATGATCATGCCTTCTAACCCTTCATCTAAGTCATTAATAAAGATGTTGAACAGGACCGGGCCGAGGACAGAACCCTGCGGCACTCCACTCATCACTTCTTTCCAGGATGAAGAGGAAGCATTGGTGAGCACCCTCTGGGTTTGTCCATTTAACCAATTACAGATCCACCTCACCGTAGTTTTGCCTAGCCCACATTGTTTGCCAGAAGGTCATGGGGGACCTTGTCGAAGGCCTTACTGAAATCCAGGTACGCTACATCCACGGCATTCCCCGCATCTACCCAGCTTGTAACTCTATCGAAAAAAGAGATCAGATTAGTCTGGCATTACTTGTTTTTGATAAATCCATGTTCCATTGAAGATCCAAGTAGTTAATTGTAGTTATTTGTATAAATATTTGGATCTATCCAACTCCTGATAAGAAACACTATTACTATAAGAAAGAGCATGACATTCTGAACTGCCATGAATTCATGATTCCTATATAGCATCCAATTTAGGAGCTGTGTAGAGAGCATACAAGCTCCCTAAATCCCACTTACCGATAATCAGTTGATGGAGTTAATGGAAGACCATTTGTCTGTTATTCAAGACTTATATTCCCACTCTGTTGTGCATGATTTCTGGCTTGGGGGAGCTTTGTGATAGGTCCTTTTTTATCACTCACAGAGTGGGAATGCCAGGCAACCCTTTTTCAATCAATAGGGGGACAAACCCCTGTCGATCCCAGTGTTTGCTTATGTGTAAGTGGGAGTTGCACATAACTGTCACACAGAATTTCACCGAATACCTTTCTCCTTATCATTTCCTTGTACTCAGTGTAACAGCTATGTAGGCACTGTTTTCTTGATGTTGCTCCTGGACAGTTTAGTAAACAGCTAGAGGTGAGGGATGTAAAGAGCACTCACAGATTTCTCTTGTCTTCAACAAGGAAGGGTGTCTGTTTTATGTGACAAAATAACTTGGCTGGCTTTGGATACTGTCTACATTGACAGGGGAAGTGTTACTTATTGCTCTGCCCCAGTCATAATTACTTTCAGACATTGAGATGTGCAGTAGAGACAATACACTGTGATTTCTTACATTTCTAGACTTCTTGTGAAAAAATCATTTTTTTCTGTTTTTGCGGGAAATAGTATAGTTTCCACTATAGCCTAGCATTCTGTTATTGAGTTAGAATGGGTAATCCAATACATTGTAACAGTCACTGTAGCCACTTTTTTGGTTTCAATTATCTAACAAACAAATCCCCCTCAAATGTACATTTTCAATATGACAGCACCATGTCAAGATGCACTAGAAAGCTCAGGAGCACAGAGATGTATCCAGGTATTTTCCTTCAGTTATATGCAGAATACTTGCAGCAACACCAGAAGCACTCCAAGTGGCCAGATACTGGTCAAAGGACATTTAACCAACTACCAAACTCACAAGTTTTGTATTTTGTCTGTTTTTTTGCTTTGTTCTGTTAGAAATGTAATATAATGGACTGGTTGCTCTGACACGACAAACAAACATGATCATGAACTCTGGCATGTCTGCAGTATGACATGCAAATAGAGGAAAATAGGTAGATGCAGCCACTTTGAAAATGGGAGATGCATCACAGCGAGAAATATGTCTCCTGATGCAGGATGCAAGCCAATGTTTTCTTTGAAAAATTTTGGGTTTTATGGAAAACAGTTTTTGGACATTATAAAACAGGTTGTCTAAAAACACATACAAAAATCAAAAGTACCCCTAAAATCTCATAATTTCACCTGTGGGAAAAAAAGACTTTTCAAATTATTTATTTTTGTGTAAACACAGGAATTGAATAAACAAATATTCACCTTTCTGCTAGAGTGCCATTGCTGTCAGAAGCAACTGTCCAGATTCTATTATAAGGAATCAGATTTCTTTAGCTTTCAACATCTGATTGCACCTTCCACAATCTAGTCTCTTTAAGATACATTGTACACCAACTCTCACCAACATTTTCCAGATGGAAATTAAACCAAAGTAGTGGATATCAGAGTTGGGAAAGGCAGTCTTAACATTTAACTTGTCCTGGGTGCCAGAAAATCTTTAGCTGGTATCTGCTGAAGAGCAACAAGTTAATTCCTCCCCTAGGTAAAGGTAAAGGTTTTTCCCCTGGCATTAAGTCCAGTCGTGTCCGACTCTGGGGTGTGGTGCTCATTTCCATTTCTAAGCCAAAGAGGTCATGTGGCTGGCATGACTGCATGGAGCGCTGTTACCTTCCCGCCAGAGCGGTACCTATTGATCTACTCATATTTACATGTTTTTGAACTGCTAGGTTGGCAGAAGCTGGGGCTGACAGCGGAAGCTCACACCGCTCCCTGGATTTGAACCTGTGACCTTTTAGTCAACAAGCTCAGCAGCTCAGTGCTTTAACCCACTGCACCACCGGGGGCCCTTATCACAGCACAAATCAAGGTTCATAGTATCCAAACCCAGCCAAACCATTTTAGTGGATAAAATAGAAATAACACTGCTCTGCCTAGTAACTGTAAAATATATCATTCTCACCATCATCTCTGCTACCACTATGTTGTCCTTTTACAAGTGAAACCAGCAGCCTGAGACTATGGGCTTGGTCTGCTTAATAGTAGAGCTAGCCCTGAAGTTAACATGGGAAAAGAAATATAAGGGACCGAGATCACCCACCTCAGTCTTGTCTTCTGTATAGTCTTGCCTTTCTTTAAACTATAAAAGATTTCCAGCTGCTGTTTCAATTGCAGTCAGTTGCTTTTCAAATGCACGACAGCCAAGAATGTGTCACTAAGGACGCAGTCCTGTTGCCAGGCTGGGCAGAACATGCCAGTCCACAATCATTGCAGCAGGAGGGACGTGTTAGTGCACAAACAGTTTGGTTGGCAGACTGTTTTCCTAGTTTACACAATAGGAAATCCTCAGAGGTCGGGTGGATTTGCCTCCCCAGGGGATAGTAACTAATATCAGCAGGACTAACAAACTACAAGCATTTGGAACAACAGAGGGATAATTGAGCTAGTCCAACTATGTATAGGCAGAGCAGCTTAAAAGAATTTAGAAGGATTAAGAAGAGTTTCAGAGAGTTAAGTGATGGGGGAGGGAAGGAATACATTGCTCGCTCTCAGGAGGTTCAGTAAAAGTTCACCAAATAGACCTCTATGTCAAAGCCCATTATCTTAAATCTTAATTTTAGAAGAAAAACAAAGATTCTACTAGACAGTAGAGTATGCACTGATGTATTGGCAATGGGGGGGTTCAAATTTCATAGTGGAAAGGAGGTTTGTTCTTTGTACAAGTTAAAAAGCACGCCATAGTACAAAGTGATGCACTATACCCTGACACATAAACTAGTCCAAACTTAGCACTTCTAGAAAAATGAGACTTTAAATGGACATGGTTGGAATATGGCTATCAAAGATGAAATTATTTTGAAAAATGGCTGGCAAATCATAGTATTTACAGTGTTTTAAGATGGATTAAGAACATTGCACAATAACATCTAAAATAGGTAATACCTTTATTGGGAAGAGCAAAAATGTACAAAACACATTGTGCAAGATGTTGAAGCTCCACTGGCTTTTTCATCAGGTGTTAAAATTATACAAGAGAAGAAAAAAAATGAGGATGTTAGAGTCACAGGCCTTCATTATGTCAAGATGTGTCTTTTTGTTGTTGTCAGTTAAGATGGGCTGGATATCCATGAAGGCAAAGGTCACTCTTCTCTTTGGAGTTTGTGAGACAACACATAATAAAATGCAGAAACAATCTTCAAAGTCCTTTAGCAACTTAGCTGCTCCAAATATCAGGCTGAGCCAAATGCAAATTTGGACTGACCTATACTGTTCAGTTCAAGGGAAGTAAGTACCCTATTTACTCAAATCTAACGCTCACCTTTTTTTTGGAAAGTTATCTTGCCAAAATGAGCGCAAGCGTTAGATTTGCATCATATGGCAATCTTAGTGCTGAGCTAAAGCCAAAGGGGAATCTGCTTCAGGAGGTGCATATGGAGCTCCTATTTGAGGGACCTCATCGCTAATTTAATAGTTATGGGTCAATCCTGTGCAGTCCTGGGATCTGTAGTTTGGTGAGGCATTGGCAGTTTTTGGCAGCAAAGACTCAAAGCCTTGTAAAACTATAGTATCCAGTATTCATGGCATTGAACCAAGGCAATTAAAGTGGATTATTCTGCAGCATAAATGCACCTAAGGTTTTCTTTTCCATTGCTGGAAGCTTTGGTGTTCTAAATGACAAAGAGTGTACTTTTTGTCACCGAGCATTACATTTGGCAGCAAATACTTAAGGTTTTGAAAATTGAGATGCACATTAGATTCTATGGTGCATTAAACTCAAAAAATATGGTATTTTGCTTTGGTCATACCCAAATATTGTGGCCACTTGCAGACACAATTGCTTGGGCAGGACATTGACAAGTGGCAAAAAATTATACAAATCAAACTCTGTGTAGAACAGTTGAATGAACCGAGGCTCTTTAGCCATGCACTGGAGGAGAGAAGATGAACAGGTGATATAATTGCCATCTTTAAGAATCTGATGAGCTATCAAGAAGATGGAGTAAGCTTACTTTCTGCTGGACAAGACAGAACAGGATTTATGGGTACAAATGGAAAGGGGGATTCTGGTTAAATATTAGGAAGACGCCACGAAGGATTTTGCATCAGGTTCTATCTTGGAACATATATATATACAAATGAATAATAGCATATAGTAATGGCTGCTCAACAATGTAATACATTCACAGCTAGCCCCAGCAGACAAACGTCCTTTGTCTCACCCTGGTCATTCCACAGATATATAAACCCATTTTTCCTATATCCAACAGACCTCACTACCTCTGAGGATGCTTGCCATAGATGCAGGCAAAACATCAGGAGAAAAATTGCCTCCAGAACATGGCCATATAGCCCGGAAAAACCTACAACAACCCAGCTGAAACATTCACAGCTAGCCCCAGCAGACAAAAGTCTTTTGTCTCACCCTGGTCATTCCACAGATATATAAACCCATTTTCCTACTTCCAAAGACCTCACTACCTCTGAGGATGCTTGCCATAGATGCAGGCGAAACGTCAGGAGAAAATGCCTCTAGAACATGGCCATATAGCCCGGAAAAACCTACAACAACCCAGTGATTCCGGCCATGAAAGCCTTCGACAATACAATGTGATACATTAATTGCTAATGGCTTTGAAATAAAAATTAGATGATCACCATCAGGAGTGCTTTAGTGATGGATTTGTGCACTGCCAGTGGGTTCAACTAGATGGTCCTTAGGATTCCTTCTAAAGTTATGATTTTGAATATTGGGGAAAAAAAGCTGGATTTTGCAGTGGACAAAATGTCATCAATGCCCCTTTTATGAGAACCGCAGCAGGGGATAAGGGTTCTGCTCTTGGTGCTTTATTCTCCAGTAATTTGCATGGTTATATTAGCAGCCAACCACCATCTTTAGGGAACTTTGCAATTCTGCCAGGCGGCACGTCAAGGAGAATCAGAACTTTCATATCATCACAGCATGGATTTTCCTTCTCTGAAACTACTGTGCAATCTGTAATTTTTAACCTCACAAGTTTGAGATTGTACCTTAACATTTGTGAGAAACAGATGGCACTCGCAAGCTGCCAACCTGTTGTTGAAAAAGCCTCTTCCAAGAATTGTTTTCTACCCATAGTCGCTTAGCATAATTAACCTTTCATGTGATTTAATAAACAGGAGCAAACTTTTGTCACATTATATTAATAAAGAAAGCCACTTAAGGACACAGCATTTTTTTTTAAAAAAAATCCGAAAATGTCATAAATTTCTTTATATATCTTTCAATCACTTTTTTAAAAGTTGAAGTTACAGGTCAACCAATTAATGTTGCAAATGGCTCCAACACTAATGGATGTACATAGGAAAACACTTTTGGTTAACACAGAACATTCTTGTCCATAAAAATAAATCAAAGGACCAAGAAGGCAATGGAACAAATTATGACGGCTTAATTAACAGTCTTCCAAGGCTTTTGTATAGCCAGCCTATTTATGCAACAGCATGCTATGTTGTGGAAGATCAGATAGTAATATACATATGTACCTATTTATTTATTTAGAGTTGTCCTTCTTTTCCTTTTCCCCAGCTCCACACCTCAGTTCGCAAAGATGGGAGAAGTGCATCAGCTTCACCACTATAGGTTGGTGTGAGGGCCACTGTCCTCATTCTTTTACCGAGATTGGACATTGCTCTCCTCCCAAGAAGCAACTTATATCCCCATACCAAAAAAGGGAAATGCGAAAGACTGCTCAAACTTCCGTACAGTGGCCCTTATTTCACATGCCAGTAAGGTAATGCTCAAGATCCTGCAAGGAAGACTCCAGCAATACATGGAGCGAGAGTTGCCAGATGTTCAAGCTGGGTTTAGAAAAGGTAGAGGAACGAGAGACAAAATTGCCAATATCCGCTGGATAATGGAGAAAGGCAGGGAGTTTCAGAAAAACATCTACTTCTGCTTCATTGACTATTCTAAAGCCTTTGACTGTGTGGATCATAATAAATTGTGGCAAGTTCTTAGTGGGATGGGCATCCCAAGCCACCTTGTCTCTCTCCTGAGGAATCTGTACAAAGACCAAGTAGCAACAGTCAGAACTGACCACGGAACAACAGACTGGTTCAAGATTGGGAAAGGCGTACGGCAAGGCTGCATCCTCTCACCCAACCTTTTTAACTTGTATGCAGAACACATCATGCGATGTGCGGGGCTGGATGAATGCAAAGCTGGGGTGAAAATTGCTGGAAGAAACATTAACAACCTCAGATATGCAGATGAAACCACTCTGATGGCCGAAAGCGAGGAGGAGCTGAGGAGCCTTCTAATCAAGGTGAAAGAAGAAAGCGCAAAAGCCGGGTTGCAGCTAAACGTCAAAAAAACCAAGATTATGGCAACAAGAATGATTGACAACTGGAAAATAGAGAGAGAAACCGTGGAGGCCGTGACAGACTTTGTATTTCTAGGTGCAAAGATTACTGCAGATGCAGACTGTAGCCAGGAAATCAGAAGACGCTTACTTCTTGGGAGGAGAGCAATGTCCAGTCTCGATAAAATAGTGAAGAGTAGAGACATCAGACTGGCAACAAAGATCCGCCTAGTCAAAGCCATGGTATTCCCTGTAGTAACCTACGGATGTGAGAGCTGGACCTTAGGGAAGGCTGAGCGAAGGAAGATCGACGCTTTTGAGCTGTGGTGTTGGAGGAAAGTCTGAGAGTGCCTTGGACTGCGAGAAGATCCAACCAGTCCATCCTCCAGGAAATAAAGCCCGACTGCTCACTGTAGGGAAAGATACTAGAGACAAAGTTGAAGTACTTTGGCCACATCATGAGGAGACAGGAAAGCCTAGAGAAGACAATTATGCTGGGGAAAGTGGAAGGCAAAAGGAAGAGGGGCCGACCAAGGGCAAGATGGATGGATGGCATCCTTGAAGTGACTGGACTGACCTTGAGGGAGCTGGGGGTGGTAACGGCCGACAGGGAGCTCTGGCGTAGGCTGGTCCATGAGGTCACGAAGAGTCGGAGACGACTGAACGAATGAACAACAACAACTCCAGCTTCTCTCTCTCTACATGGGCGTGTGCACACACACACATGCAAACACATTTTTCAATAGCGTTTTGCTGCCTGTGCCCCTGTTCAGAAGATTTCACCTTACTCTCTGTCCTGTGATTTTGAAAAATTTGGTTGGTGTGTAAACAAAGACTGGTGATATAACTTCAGTGGAGACACCTTTTTCCCCATGAAAGCTCTTTCAGAAGTGAATTTACCTTCCTAAGGGTAGATTTCTCTCACTTTCTGTGGTCCCATCCCATTCTTAACTATGAGTCATCTGTGAGTCGGATGTTTGTAAATCAGGAACTGCCTGTATATGGTTTTCTTCATGTTCCATTCTTATTTTATTTTATTAGCCTAATTTTATTTTTATTTTATTAGCCGACTTGGAAAGTGCTGAACAGACGAGATGCAGAGCCAATCTTAAGAAATGTGGCTACGAAGTTGAATCCATGACATGCGAGTGTGGAGAAGAGCAAACCACAGACCACCTGCTGCAATGCAACCTGAGCCCTGCTACATGCACAATGGAGGACCTTCTTGCGGCAACACCAGAGGCACTCCAAGTGGCCAGATACTGGTCAAAGGACATTTAATCAACTACCAAGCTTGCAAAATCTGTGTTTTTTAATCTGTTT